TCGCGTCAGTCCCATCTCCTTTGTTGTGTATCCCAGGTACCTCTGGTCCCGCGGGCGTGTCTTCGGTCCGGTCACAGTTTGGTACTCCATTGTTGGTAGCGTAGGCGGAAAGACGTAGGAAGGTGTCGGTTGAAGGTGTAGGCCACTGGCGTCGGCGGAATACACAGGTGGATGGCGTAGGCGGATGGCATAGGCGGAATGACGTCTGTGAGAGCGGTTTCGAGAGTCCAGGAGTCCAGTGAGGATCGGGGTCTTGAGATGATTCCGGTCGAGCCGAGATGTAGGTGCAGCAGAGTGATTACCCTGAAACGTGCAGCGCTTATATATCCGATCAATCCAAAAAATTTTCTTCTTTTTCGGACTGACAAATTTGGCTGAGTTCCGAAAATGCGAAGATAACTTGAAAATATTTATGTTCCCGATTTTCTCCCCGACTTGCTTGACGCGGTGATCTCAACTTGCGCCTCACCTTTGCAGGGTATTTTCGATAATGTAGGAAAAACAGGCGTATACATATATACATATGTGAATATATATGCACCTCGTGGATCAGTGCGATATGTATATATGTGTATGGCTGTTGCTAGATGGGAAAAGAGTGGAAAACCAGATATAAGAGTAAGTGAGATATATTAAATTTTTAAATGGGTTTTGTCTATCCCCTCTCCCTGGGTCCCCGACAACAGGGGCGGTGGCAATGGGGGGCCGGGCGGCGCAGTCCGGGGTTGCTCTCGGTCGGGGGGCGTTCTGCGTACTGTACCCATCTGCCTTCCTAGGGGCATCGCGTTGACGGCCAGGAACCGCAGGCGGCAGAAGTGGAGGCGGACTGGTGGGTTGGCGGCGGTGTGGCTCTGGGGGTAGGCGGAATGCGGGCGGTCCCTCGTGATGGTAGATGGGAAGCCCGTGGCTGCCATATGTATATATAGTTGATACGCAGATACATACGCATATCATATCTTCTCGGGTATTGGGGTCGTAGCAGATTTACCACTTCTTTTATGTCAAGAGGTTTCCGCTGGGAATCCTTGAACTCTAAAGCGAATGGCATCGGACTTACTCACAAACAACTCCCGGCCACATTCTCCTTGGAATTTGAAGGGAGAAAAGAATGTTCGCAACAAAATGCTGTATAAAACAAAAAAATAAAAAAATATATCAACACAAAAAAACAAAAACAAGAAGACAACTATTTCTCTTTTCTACCTTAAAATTCTCCTCCTGGAACTTGCAGCTGTGTGTTCCTCCGGTGCCGGTCTTCCTTTGGCTTCCACCATATAAGGGGGGAGGGGAGCTCTGGAGGTAGGGTAGAGCTGAGGAACAAACGACACACTTGTTTCACAGGGTACTTCTTCGAATATAATATTGTCGTGCTGTCGTTACTAACTTAGCTGCATTAGTGATGAATTTTTGTAAATTGATAAACTCGCTTTCAAGCTGCACGTCTTGTGCTCTCAATTGTGAGATATTGAATCGCAGGCTGACCGAGTATGATGCTGAAGAGTACAGCACCGGTCCCAATTTTTGGAAAAGGACCCCTGCTCTCATTTTTTCCTGCACCGGTGATACTTCGTGACTCATCTTTACCATGACAACCGTCAACAGAATTATTTGGATTTTGATACTTTTCATTTTGAAGGATGGGAATACGTTGGGATGCCGGAAAATTCTGAATTGAAAAAAAAAACTGCGTGACGAAACACAACGCGAATTAGGATAGAAAAATCTTTGAAAATAACTAAAAAAAAAATAAAAAACAAAATACGTAGGGCTACCGGAATCGAAAAATTTTGAAGTCTTGCTCAAAATCCCGGCGCGCGCACCATGTCGTGGGGGGGGAGGGTTATGGGAAAATGACATGGACCGCATATAACTCTCTTATAACATATAATAAACACAACAAAATCTTACATCAACAAAAACACTCTAAAAACTGACAATTCTAAAACTTTACTGGTCACTAACGGGGGGACGGACCGGACCATCCGGGAATCTATTCCTCGAGACTGATCTCGCCCATGCGATCACCGAATCTTAAACGCTATGAAACGCTAACACTCTAGGGACCAGAGGGGATACCTTACAGTTTAGCCAAAAACTTGTGTTCCTCTGCAGTAAGGAGAAACATGGGGGGGGGGGGGACCAGTCAAGGTTATAGTAAAAGGAGCCCTTGACAACTCCAAATAGGATATTGCAAACTAAAACTAGCATTAACAAGGTTTGAACACGAGGAGACCCAAGAGCAGAATTATACGGGTATATGTTTTTTTTAGGTTGGCAAACCTGTCCTGAGAATTTTGGATTTGAAATATTTTTCCGCTCCTGCCACCAAACGGGTGTTGATGCTCCAAGACTGGAGGGGGAGTGTAGATGTAGCCGAAAGAATGGTAAACGGATGCCAAACACAGAAGTAATAACAGGGGCCACTCAAATTTATTTAATTTAGAAAAATAGGAAAAAAAAATAGAAAAAAAACACATAAATAGGGCTCGAAAAACTTATTCTAACATTCACAAAAATCTCACAACTCCGAGCGTAAATTGGAAATTTTAGGTCACTCAAAAGGAAAACAAACGAAAACGAACACAAGATAAACCGATCAAGAACTCAAAGAACACGATTACTCAACCAACCGAGTCGGCACTGTCGAAAACTACGGGAGGGACTGGGCTATCGCCTCTAACACCCTAATCACTCGAGAAAAGACGACTGACTTCAGAAGTGATGTTCAGACGCTACCCTGGGCCAGAGATGCCAGGGAAGCGTCGGTTCCCATGGGAAAGTACTGGGGGAAATTCTGAAGCAGCAAAAATTCAGACTCCAAACCACGCTTTCCAAGAATTGCCGGACGGACAGTGTCATGAGCCACAGCCAAATTCATCAGAGTCCCGCAAAATTCTCAGAGATTCTCTCCGGAACAGTGCGGGCCCCTGACCGATTTGGCAGCTTCGCATGTCTGCCGGAAACCGATGGAATCGTGGCTGAACAGTTTTCTCAAAACGCAAGAAAATGCAAGACAAGCGGCTGGAACGCATCCGCCAGACAGGTCCCGTCGACGTCCCATCTCCCAGTTTCCTCCGCTTGCGTGAGAAAATGTTCGCGGCGCTGCTCGAGGTAAACTTTGAATCCCGGAGAAATTCAAAGCTTCTCCCGGGCCGCGCCGCGAAATGACGGCTAAGGATTAGTGGGCCCAAAGGCAAAATGACCGTTTCAGGGCTATTGATTCTACGCCTCGATCTCCGTATCGAGCTATCGAATTTCTTTCTTACTTACCATGCAATGGCAATTCATTATTGCCCATGTTCCTGAGGTATCACCTGAATTCCATATTTTCTACGAAGTTACCTAATTGAAAAAAAAATATTGCTTTTTGTATGCAATGCATGATAATATGATTCTTACATCCATTGCAGAATGCGAGCTTGACGACAGCAGTTGTACGGAATACTTACACACTTGACCGGTTGCGTTGTGAAAATGGGATAAAGCCGAAAAATCAGCAAATCGAAAGGATTGTCAATCGCTCTTGCTCCCATTTGAATCAGTGAGAACGAAAACACACCGCAACTCGAAAAAATGAAAATAATCAAGACGCACACAAAACTGCACAGTTGGTGAAGAAATTAGTCTAAGAAAAGTATTTTTGGTGCCGAGAGACAAGCACTTAAGGACACTTAAAAGGTCAAAGTTGGAACAGATGCGCTATAACTTCAAGGACCTTTTTGAAAATTGACTGTCTGTATTACAAATTGAGAATTTTTGTGTTATTGAGTTGCTGTATTTGCGTCCTTGCTGATTCATTTGAGCGCCATCTTTGTCACTCGCTATGCATGCTTTCACGACATCGAGTCCATTGTCAAATGAAAACTCATGTTGTTTCCTCCTCCGACAGAACGGAAATATGGAAAAACACGAGTTTGATGAGACTCCAAATTCTATTTTCGTGTTTGATGTCTGGATTTTTGCCTACCTCCTTGTTTCATCGTTCTCTTGGCAGCGTTGGTCAGTATACTCGACAATGGAGATGTTGCATGTGTGAGGAATTTGCGATTTGACTGTTGATTCTTACGTAAAAGTTCGCGAGAAACACGATGGTACCACTGGTTTTCTATGAAATTAACTCCCAAGCTCAAAAAAAGCTCTCAAGTTTAGGCCAAAATGGAGGGAATATCCCACGCTATCCTGAGAGTCCACCTCTACATCAAAACAAACTCTCCATGCAAAGATAAGGAGCAAATACCTACATTGACAGGGCTGTCACTTTATTTGGGGACTCCAAAACTGAAAACACGGCATCACTGCTAATGTATTTGCTCCCTATCTTTGCATGGAGAGTTTGTTTTGATGTAGAGGTGGACTCTCAGGATAGCGTGGGATATCCCCTCCATTTTGGCCTAAACTTGAGAGCTTTTTTTGAGCTTGNACATCATACTGTATATAGCAAATTTACACAGACAGGTGTCCAGATGGCGTTGAAAAAATGTGAGAGAACACAAAACAGGGGTGGCAATGGTGCCTTCCCCTTTTCTAATGAACAAGATAAAGCCTCCTCAGTTTCGTAGGCAAATAGATAGCCTTCATCCTTTTGCTGACAATTAGGTACAAGTGCGATTATTTGTCCATACATTGAAACTTTACTTAAGAGGTCTCGTAAGAAGGTGCAATTACTCGCAATTAAACCACCTCCTCAGGGCCGTATTTATAGCTGTTCCTTAAAAATTCCTTCCCTGAAGAAACCCTGTATGGTTTACGTTGTGATTGAAGGAGCCTAAACGCGATTCTCAAATTAGCATGATAAATAGGACAATTTCAACAAATCTCGAGTTACATTTAACAGAATGACTTTGGAAATGAACCCCTACAAAGGATAGCAATGATTTGCCTCCCCAGTCATTAAACGTACAAAAGAAAACACAGTTTCGATTTTGAAAGTGTTAAGGTAGGTTTGTACTCAGACTCACCTAAAAGTTTTTAAAATCATGTAATTTTTTCTTACGCATTTTTTAATTTTTTTTGCAGTGGCTAATCATGGGTATCCCTCGCGAAGATCTATTCCTTAAGCTATATTGTTGAATTTTATTCGAATTTCGTTAAAATTCTCCTTTTAATGATGCTTTGTCTAGAATCTCCTTAAATCTCCCTTGATCATAGTATAAACCATGTGGGATCTCCTGAGGGAAGGAGTTGTTCCTTAAACAACTGTGAACGCGGTGAAAGAGAGTTGGTTTTTAAAATGTTGAAGGAGAAGATAACAAGTTTTGAAGAGTGAAGTTGTGAAGAGAAGTTTGTGGAGAGAATACATTGAATCTCGAATCATTTAAAGGACCTGTAAAAATTGTTCCCTCATATTTTCAAAACATTTTTTTTGAACTTTAAAAAAGGGGAGTAGGGTATATACGTCCTCTATAACTCCCCTTTACCTACACTTCCTCCTTTTTTCACCTTATATTTTTGCTTTGCCCCTTTCCTCTTTAATGCTTTCCACACTCCTCAACCACACCTCTTTGTATCTGACAATTAAAAATCTTCTGTGGCGGAACAGTATCATACAAGATTGAAGACACCCCAAAGTATCATGATTGCTGGCCTATTTCAAAAGCACGAAGCTCCCGGGCCTCACAAATTAAATCAAGTGACAACGACAAAAAGAGAGCGGTAGTCGAAAAACTTACCAAGTCCTATAGTTATCCAATAACGTTTAGCATGATTTTTGAACTTCATTAGAGGAAAAGTGACTCGATTCAAACAGAAATATGCTCACCGCCGAGAAGATTTCCTTATGAATCAATAAAGAGAATAAGGCTTGTTTAAAAAGGAAAAAATGCATGTACAAAAAGAAAAGTCTCTTACATCAAACAGAAACCCGCTTCCGTTCTGCAATTTTATTCTTGATTCAAAATAAAATCTTCTTGACGGCTTATTCAAGAATTTTTCTGCCTAAATTGAGTCACTTTTTTCTCTAATGAAAATAAAAAATTATGCTAAACGTTATTAAATACGGATGCTTAAGAACTTGGTGAGCTTTTGGACCACCGCTCTCTTTTCGTGCCGTAGTATCTTGATTTATTTTGAGAGGAAAACTCCGTACCTACTCTTAAAGGATGCCTGTCATTCTTAATGCGTTGGAGCGCCTTCAATTTCGTATGATACTGTGCAACACCTCTGTTGTGAAATAGTTGCTTGAGGCGCAATGGCACGGCGCGGCGGGCTTTCAACGCCTACAAACCTAATGGGATACTTCACGCATTGCGCGATGCTTGAAGTATCCCCTTAGGTTTGTAGGCGCCAATGCGCGTCTCGCGCTGGCAACGCGCCGCGCCGCTCCGCTATGTTTGGGCTCTAACATTTATACTCGTG